AGCCCCCTTTCACATCAGAAGCCCCCCTTCACATTACAAGCCCCCCTTCACAACACAAGCCCCCCTTCACATCAGAGTCCCCCTTTACATTTACATAAGAGCCCCTCTTTTACATCAGATCCCCTTCGCAACACAAGCACCCCTTCTTTCACATCAGAAGCTCCCTGTCACATCACAAGGTTTTCTTTTACATCAGAGCCCCTTTCTTTTACATCAGAGACCCCTACCATTCACATCAGAGTCACCTTCTTTCACATCAGACACCCCCCTTAACATTACAAACCCCCTGCACATCACAAGCCCCCCTTCACATCACAAGTGCTCCCTTCACATCAGAACCCTCAGTCCTTTCTTACCATACCATACCATACAGGGGCGTAACTAGAAATCACAGGGCCCCATAACAAAATTTTGTATGGGGCCCTGTGATTTATAGTGACGCCCACCTGATATCCCAATCAACCCACCTGAGAGTGACCCGGCAGAGCCCACCATAGAATCTCTATGGTGGGCTCTGCAGGGTCTCAGGTGTGCTGGTCAAACCCTCTTACCTGTCAGCCCTGATCGTTCTCCTCCGTCGCTGGGCCCTACCTCCTCCATCACCGGGCCCTGTCTCCTCCTTCGCTGCCAACGCCGGGCCAAGCTGTCTCCTCCACAGCTGCTGGCTGTCACTGACTCAGCAGCGGCTGTGAGGAGAAACGCGCCACTGCACACATCACTGACAGGTTGTCAGTGATCTGAACAGCGGCACGTTCTTCCTCCGTACAGCCGCCAGTGACAGCCAGCAGCCTGAGATGCCATAGCGACCCAGGCGGCCCACACAGCATCCGGGGGGTGTCCTGGCCGGGTCCCCCTATGCCCCAGGCCCCATAGGGCCGCCTGGGTCGTTATGGTGATTGTTCCGCCACTGCTACCATCACATCAGGAGCTGCAGCATGGCAGAGGGCGGGAGGGGGAGAAGGCCTGGACAGAGGCAAACCTCCATCCTTTTCTGAATGCCCCCCCCCCCTACCTGGATTAGTGGCTGGCCTACCTGCACCATGGAAAGGCATGACGCTATACGAAAACATGTACACCACTGAGGAAGCCAGAAGGAAAGGCTGGTGTATGGCCTGTAGTATTTATGTAATTTCTTTTTAACTGATGCGAAAAATAAAAGGGACAATCCATCCTGGCAGAAATCTTTCTGAATTCAATTAAACGTTTTTTTCCCCTTTGTTCTTTTGAGTGCTTCATTTTTCTAGGGAGAACATCATGTAAAACAATAAAATGTATGGCTTTATGTTAAACGTAGGGTAGTTTCAGGGGCGTAACTAGTAATCTCAGGGCCCCATAGCAAAATTTTGTATGGGGCCCTGTGATTTCTAGTTATGCCCTTTGCAGAGCCCACCTGATATACCAAACAGCCCACCTGAGAGTGACCCTGCAGAGCCCGCCATAGACTCTCTATGGCGGGCTCTGCAGGGTCTCAGGTG